TACGATCAATGTGTAGAGCCATGGGAAAATAGATTTCATCCCAACACATAAAGTAGAAATTTGTGATGGTAAAAACTACCAAAACTGTACATTAAAAAGAAACATTAAAAAGAAAGAGAACTAGTATTATGTACTGTTATAAGTTATTTATTGCTGCATAATACATTATCCCTAAACCAAGTAGCTTAAAACACAAACTTGGCCAGGTGCAGTAGCTCACGCCTGTAATCCCAGCACTTTGGGAGGCAGAGGCGAGAGGATTGCCTGAGCCCATGGGTTTGAGACCAGTCTGGGCAATTTGGCAAGACCTCATCTCTACAATAACTCAAAATTAGTTGGGCGAGGTGGTGCGCATCTGTGGTTCCAGTTACTTGGAAGGCTGAGGCGGAAGGATCACCTGAGCCCAGCAGGTTGAGGCTGCAGTGACTGTGAGTGTGCCACTGCACTCCAGCCTGGGCAAGAGTGAGATTCTGCCTCAAACAAACCAACCTACACGCTTATCATCTTCCAGTGTCTGTGGGTCAGAAATTTGCCATGGCTTTGATGAGCCTTCTGATTCAGGGTCTCTCATTGGGCTGCAACAAGGTATCAGCCAGGGCGACAGTCACCTCAAGGTTCAAGGGTGCTGGAACTGCTTCCAAACTCGCTCATGGCTGTCGGGCAGGCTTAAGTTCTGAGCTGTTGGACTGAGGGCCTCAGTTCCTTGCTGGCTGCTGAGGGGAGGCTACCCGTTTCTTCTACCATCTTGCCAGGTGGTCATCTCCATGACAGAAAGCACTGGAGAAGGGCCAGGAGAGAAGCCAAGAGGAGGGAAGAAAATGGACAAATGTGAGAACTTGTCAAGAAACAAAACCAAAACTAAAGACAAGTCTGAGATTTCTCATTTGTGCAATTGGATAAAAGATTGTGCCCAATTACTGAGCTAAACATACAAGAGGGCAAGGCCTGGGGAGAGGAATATGACTTTTAACAGATGCGGGATGAGTCTTTGAGATACTAGGAGACAACAAAGTAGATGTGAAGGTCAGAGGTCAGAACTGGCTTGAAGATGTGTTTGCGAGGTATCAGTATCTAGACTGTGGTGGACAGCTTTATACTGTTCTTTCTTGCTGTCCAGTTAAGTTATTCATTTGCAAGAGTCTCAGTCTGAAACACAAATCTTTGCTGTTAAATTTAGCACCCCCTTCCAAAAGCATTTTGAACTGGCGGTGATCAGGAACAAGCATTCCTCATTACTGGAGCCAAAGACAAGAGCATGGCAGGAGGAAAATCTTCACCTGAGAAGTTTCCCTCAGGGCAGTATGTGAAGGGAACCTTCAGAAAAGAGACTGAGCAAGTGGAGAATTTTGTTGGTGACAGATGTGAGCTCCAAGGAATGTTCACAAAACTGTTTAGGAAGAAATTTTGTTTATCTGAGGACTATGAATAGATTTTGTTATGTAAACTGTGTACTAAGGCAGATGATTATGTGTAGGTGGTGGTGCTTGGCTTCCCATTCAATAAAGACATTTTCTTTATGGTCAACAAAACTTAGCACCTCCTTCCAACTTTGCCTTCCCAGTGCCCCTCATTACCATCCCAATCTCATTTTGGAAACATCTGGCAGATTAAGACTTAGAGATAAAGAAAACAAAAGCACGTGGTAACCCCTATGACCTCTACCTTCTGGCATCCATGCATTTGTGTGATGCCTTCTGGTGTCAGCTGGACTTGACTGGCTTCTATCCCATTAGTTCCCAACTTTTTGGCCTCAGGGATTTGTTTCCTGGAAGACAACTTTTCCACAGACGGGCAGAGGGGGATCATCAGGCATTATTTTTTTTTTTGAGTTAGAGTCTCACTCTGTCACCTAGGCTGGAGTGCAGTGGCTCACTCATGGCTACCCCAGCATTAACCTGCTGGGCCCAGACGATCCTTCTGTCTTCCAAGTAGCCAGAATTACAGGCATGTACTACCATACCTGGCTAATTTTTTTTTTTGAGTTGGAGTCTCACTCTGTCACCCAGACTGTAGTGCAGTGGCTGCTCCCGGCCACCGCAGCCTCGACCTGCTGGACTCCAGTGATCCTTCCGCCTCAGCCTTTCAAGTAGCTGGAACCACAGGCACGTGCTACCACACCTGGCTAATTTTTGATTTATTGTAGAGATGCGGTCTCACCAAGTTGCCTAAGCAGGTCTCGAAACCGCAGGCTCAGGCAATCCACTCACCTCAGCCTCCCAAAGCGCGGGATTACAGGCTGAGCCACCGAGCCCGGCTAAATTTTTTGATATATTATAGAGATGCGGTCTCATCAAGTTGCCCAGGCTGGTCTTGAACCCCTGGGTAACTCAGGTAATCCTCTCATCTTGGTCTCCCAATGTGCTGGGACTGCAGACTTGAGCCACCGCACCCAGCCTAGATTTTCATGAGTGCACAACTTAGATCCCTTGCATGCACAGTTCACCATAGTGTTTATGCTTCCATGAGGATCTAATAGTATGGCTGATCTGACAGAAGGTGTAGCTCAGGAAGTAATACACGCCATGGGGAGTGGCTGAAACAGATGACTCACCTGCTGCTCACCTCCTGCTGTGTGGCTTGGTTCCTAACAGGCTATGGACCGGTATTGGTCTGCAATCAGGGGTTGGGGGCTCCTGTTCTAACCCATAGAACGTGGCAAAAGTGACAGCACGTCACTCCCATGATTGTTACACTGTATGGCAAGGTGATGGGTGTCACCCCATGACTATGTTACATTACATGAGACTCAGTCTTGCTAGCTGACTGGGGCTAGAGATTCCCCTTGCTAGCTTGATGAAGCACATAAGCATGCCGAGAAAGCCCATGAGGCAAGGGACTAAGAGGCGCTAGGGCCACTAGGAGCGGAGGGCGGACTCAGTCAACAGCCAGCAAGAAACTGAAGCCACTTCTACAGCTACAAATGCATTTTGCTAACAACCTGAGCGAGCTTTGCAAGCAGACTCTCCTCTAGTTGAGCCTGCAGATGCAAACACAGCCTGGCTGACACCTTGACTGTGGTCTGTGACCAAGAGTAGAGAACTCAATGAAGCTGAGTCCTCACTCCTAACCCACAGAAATGGTGACATTAAATCTGCAGTAATTTGTAACACACTATAGAGAACTAAGCAATGCTTAAACCTTTATTCAGCTCACCCCACTTCTAAGGAATCTAACCTTTTTTGCTGCAAAACAGCTGTCTGCTTTCATTTTACAGGCTGTAGTTATGCAACCGTCATTGTGGATTAAGGGCACCAGGGTAAAAAAGGACCCAAAGATCTGCCATACCTACCATAGCGACTAGCTTGCATCTCACCTTTTCTGTGATGAGGCAAAAAATATGTTTCACATGGCTATTAGAAATATAAAATGTCTAGGAAAGGTAAGGGAGCTTTGTTAAGTTAAAAGAGCCACAGAATAGGAACCTCATCCCACTAGATATACAGAATAAATTTATTTAAATGAATCTAGAACTAAAAGTCAGAGCTGGAAAAAGACTAGCACCTAGGTACTAGAAACAGATGTTTACATTCCCATAGGTAGAAAAATGTAATTATAAAGTGGCTTTAAGTTTCTGTAATTAGCAAACTCAAAAGTAATATATAACTGCAGTAACACTGATGTATAAAGCTTTAGTTTTCAAAATAAAACAACTAGTCATAACTGCTTGAGGTGTGCATGGAAAAAACCCAGACTCTCCAATCTTAGTGCATCCTCATCATTCGTTTTAAGTAACATTCAGTTACAGCGATGTTCCTCTAGTAAGAGAAGTCCAAGTCCCTTCACCATTTCTACCTGCCTCATCTTTTATTAAGAATAAAATACTTTTCTCAAAATCTAAAAAAAGGGAACCATGACCAGGGATTAAGTGAACATAATATCTATTTTTATTATGAAACATTAAATTTTGACACATTGCTTCATTTGCTTTTTAAAAATCTATTATCTGACTTAAACCTATTCAGCAAAAATGCCAATAAATTATATAAATCATAGTTTGGGTCTTTTCAAAACTAGGAGCATAATATGTTTTATGATAATCAAACAATACTAAATCTGAGTTGTATGAACTGTTAACTTGTCATTTGTTTTAGATGTTCAGCTTAAAATATAAAGAAAACCAACCACACTAACACAGTGTCGCAAAAGTTTCTCAGAAACACCTTCCACATCACTGTCAGTATCCTTCGGTTTCTTCACTGAGGTACAGATGCAGCCACAACAGGTGTCAAGGCACTCATGCTAACCTGTTCTATCCTGCACGTCTTAGGAGTCACATTGGATGGAGGGCGGAAGACGTGCATTATTCCCCAGCCCAGGCTATCTTGCCCTTAAGACAACTAATTTGTTTAAAATAAAATCATCAGCTAAGAATTCAAATACTGAATTTAGAAATAATGTTTCAAAACACATTACATCAAATGTGTTAGTACTTAAAAGTCACAAATTCTGAAAAGTAAATGACCAATGAACTAAGGCAAATAGTATTACCATCCCATGCCTTAAAATGTTATATTTTTGGTGTCTGAAGCTCTTTGCAAATTATATTTTGGGACTGTTCAGATGAATTTAAGTAAAAGATGTGCGTTCTGCAAAAAGTTAGAGTTTTAAGGTTTTTATCATGGGTGGCAACATTAAAAAAAACACATCGACAGTCCTTAATAGTGAAAATTTTCCACTTGGTTTCTAAATCTTTATTTTCTGTGGAGGCAAATGAAAGTACTCTTAAGATTCCACCTTCAAAGTTACAATATAATCTCTATCATTCCTAGAGATTTTTTTTTTTGAGTTGGAGTCTCATTCTGTTGCCCAGGCTGGAGTGTAGTGGCATGCTCCTGGTCATCGCAGCCTCAACCTGCTGGGCTCTGGCGATCCTTCCGCCTCAGCCTTCCAAGTTGCTGGAACTATAGGCGCGCGCTACCACACCCAGCTAATTTTTAAAAAAAATTTATTGTAAAGGCGAGGTTTCACCATGTTGCCTAGGCTGGTCTTGAACCCGCGGGATCAGGCAATCCTCTCGCCTCGGCCTCCCAAAGTGCTGGGATTACAGGCTTGAGCCACCATGCCCGGCCTTCGTTCCTAGAGATTTAAAGCTAGCTATGATCCTGGTCTTTGCCAGAATCTTCATTTTCATCATCCTCTTCTTCTTGGTCTCCAGATTCAAGTTCATCCTCTTCCTCAACCTGGAGGAAAAAGACATATTTAATATTATAAAGATTTGTTCACATCACATTCAACATATAATAATATATAGTTGATAAATTCTGTATCTTAGTAGTTACAGTGGAATACAAGCCATCTGACTCCTTTCATTTAATGCTCAAGGCTCCTTGTCATTTGTAATATAAATGAAATATATCAGTTAACTTTGCTTACAAATGTCTTTACCTCTTTCCATATTTAAACCAAACATAGCAAAGGATAATGACACACATGGGTGATAACAGTCTTGTTATACAATCAAATCAGCTCACTTTCTAGGCTCAAGGTCCAAAAGAAAACAGTCTATAAGTGCTGAAAACTGAACCTAATCTGTGTCTTAAATCAATTCACTGAACACAGTGAAAGCAATGTAGATGATACCATATTCATGAATTCACATATCTAAGCCTATAATACAGGCAAACTTTTCCATGTTTGCATTAGAAAAATAAAATAACACAGATTATTTTTGGAAACATTTTTAATCTTACTGGATGACCAAGTTCCTTGAGTTTATTCTTCAATGAAAGTATTTTCTGATCTTGATCAGCCAAGAGCACCAAGAGATCATCTTGTTCTTTTTTAGAATCTGTAATTTCCAACTCGAGTTTGTCTTTCTCATTTTGTAAAATGGCAATGGTACTATTAGATGAATCCAGCTGCTCTTTAATGGCAGTTCTTTCCTCAGACAGGGCTTTAATTTGATTCTAGGAAAAGAAAGGTGAAAGTCAATAATCTAAAATTAGCTTTCCTAGAGTTTTTAGTTTCTTTCTATGACAAATCATTGTACTTGTTCAATCTAAGGATCTCAGGGTTACAGGAGGTTTAAAACAAACCACATATTGGGTAACATGAGACTCTATTAGACTATTCATCAAAACTGGTTATTGTAAAAAAAATAGAGTTTAACATCCAAAAAAACAGTCTTAGCTAGCTATTCCTCAAAAAATCTTTAAGAGAAAAACAGCAGTATCATTTCAGATAGTCAGAGGAGTAACCAGATACACAAAACATTTTACAGCAGAAGCCTGGTTAGCATCAGAACCAGAACTCAAAAACTCAAGTTAATAAAGACTTATCCACTGGTGCAGTGGCTCCCGCCTATAAGCCCAGCACATTGGGAAGCAGAGGCGAGAAGACTGCTTGAATCTGGGGGTTCAAGACCAGCCCAGGCAACTTGGCGAGACCTCATCTCTAAAAAAAGAAAAAAAAAAAAAATTAGCCAGGATTGGTGATGCGTGCCTGTAGTCCCAGCTACTTGGAAAGCTGAGGCAGGAGGGTCTCCTGAGCCCAGCAAGCTAAGGCTGTGGTAGCCATGAGCGTGCTACTGCATGACTCAAAAACAAAGACTTATTCAAACTTCATGTGCACAATTAAATGGGAAGCAATAATAGCTTGAAACAAAACGTATGGTTTAAAAATAAAATAATTTGCCAGGCTCGGTGGCTCAGCCTGTAATCTTGTGCCTTGGGAGGCTGAGATAAGTGGGTTGCCTGAGCCCGTGGGTTCGAGACCCGCCTGGGCAACTTGGTGAGACCGCATCTCTACAATAAATAAAAAAAAAAATTAGCTGGGCGTGGTAGCGCGCACCTGTAGTTTCAGCTACTTGGAAGGCTGAG